GGGTCCGAAAAATTAGTAAATATTCTTCAGACGTTCTAAAGTAAAGGTGAACAGCGTTTTTCTTAAAAATATCACCATTACGTAGTAAAAAAAAATCCGGAAAGTTCTCGCTTCGTGATTTGTTCAATACTTCGAACGCGGCTCGAGTCCGTCCCGACCATCTGTCAAAGTCTCGTGCTGCGGGCTCTCGAACTTCGCGCCGTCACCTCTCATTGGTCAGTGTTTTCCGTTAATAACTCGTAAACAAAGCCGCAGATTGCATTTTCGCAAAGGAAAAAGTTACTTCAAATGACCTCAGCTACCCCTCATTTTCGGCTGTTATAATAATTGCGGAACACCCTGTATACATACTATATTATGTGCAATATACAAGCTGAACAAAATAACTTGGCCAATTTGAATACTTTGCTGGTTTCAGATTCTTTCTTTCTTCACATTTTTCATTAACGCTCTTTTTGTGAAACAAATGTCAAAGTAAAACATTTTTTAGTTTGAAGCTGCAAATGAAATGACAAACAAAAAGCTTTTCCCAAGGTTATATTTCTCAAGAAATATGTATACCCGCATTTATAAAATTATCAATGGAACTGAAATAGCGAAAATTATGATTTCGAGAAAAAATTTTCGTTTATCATAACTAGACTTCTGATATCTTTGCAAAATAAATGTTATTTTCTCATTAATTTAAAAAAGAGAAGTAAATAGGTGCTGGATAGCAATGCTTTGTTCCTCTCAATATATTTAGCCATTTCAAACTAATATGGCTACGTTCTTATGCTCTTTTGATGCTCTTATCATTTGGTGTTTGACGTTAATATTTTTGTCATAAGTGCATAGAAACTATTTAATTATAACATTTCCCCCTTCACACGAGACAATGTTTTCCTGTTTGATATTTCATCAGATTATTTAAAACAAGTAAAATATTCGAATCGATTAAGTCGTATTGTTCATAGTATACTTGTACCTCTATACTGTATATTATTGATAGAGTATGCATTATATTAATCAGTTGGCTGTTTTTGACGAGTACACTTATCATAACAAAATCTTGTCATTTCTTAATGACGAGTATACTCATCAAAAACAGCTAACTGATTAAGAAGGATGTATAGTTTGATATTCTTTATTAAGATATATATTTTATACAAGTTTTGTATTTAAACAAAATATGAAGAAAATCAAGCATATACAGTATGTAATTACATTAACTTTTTAACCCACTTTTTAAAGTGATTCCAACAGCTAACTGGTTCATTACTTTTGTTCAACCTAGAGGAAATATTGCTCTGCGCAGAGGCTATCTGGATGTCGCCAGATGGTCATATGATGTTGTATGCATCTTTTAATGATTCGCTCGTTGAGGAGATGCACATATCGTGGTTTGGAGAAGAGAATAAGGTTCTTTATCCGAAAATACGATCTCTTCGTTATCCGAAGGTAGTGCTTTATTCTTACATTTTTCGATTTTTAGAATATTTGCGACTATGATGTTGTTCCAGTATTGTTGTTTCTTAATACGTTATTACTAACTAATCTAGATTCATATTATTCAAATACTATTATATTTCTCGCGTTCCCCGATAATGTACACGAAAGCGTCTAGCACGCAGCCAACAGATACAGACATTTTTATACAACGACATACTCGTTTCAAATTTACAAAGTTACAAGTGCCAGTTTCTAAGACAAATATGATTTTTGAGAGATGAGGTCCGTTAAAGAACTTTGAGGGAAATTTTTATGTGGGTCAAAAGTTATTCAAAATCGGGAAATGAGGGGTTCCTGAGGTCATTTGAAGTAACTTTTTTCTTCGCGCAAATGCAATCCACGGCTTTGTTTACGAGTTATTAACGAAAAACACGAACTAATGAGACTTCAGCTAGCGTAAAGCGGTTGTAGCGCCGTGCTTTTACGACGCCTTTTTGACGCGCGGGGATCGAACGTTAACCCTACCGGGGTTGTAAGGCCCGGGCTTCACTTGTTTGAAGACGCGTCGGTTTTGTAACGGTTATCGGTCCGATTGACCGATTTCGAATGAATTAGCGATTAAGTTCCCGAGTCGAATGAGTCTCCGGTTGCGACGAGTGAGTCTCCGAACGATTGAGACTGTTTGACGCACGAGTGAGACTCCGGATCGAGAATATATGTTTTTGAAGGCGACTGTAAGAATAATAATACTGCTTGAAAACTACTGAACCACTGGCTCGCCTCGACTGCTCGCGTTTTTTATACCCTTTTCCCCACTTGAGATTCTTGAAGGAACCTCCACCTCCATGCCGGGATGCACTGACTGGTTTTCTCGAAAATTACGATTTCCCAATCAGCGTCCTCCGAACGTTTCGTCACCACCCTCTCGTACCGTCCTGCACGGGCCTTGTCTTGAAGAGGGGTGCGACACGTAATTGCGTGGTTGGGGAGGTCCTCTGGGCCTTGAGATGTCATCCCCGCGACGGTTGGGATTAACTTTCCCAAGACGCGTTCAAAAATCTCAAGTGTTATT